GGGGCAGGGATTCAGATTTTTGAACCATTAGGATCTCTTCTGGAGCAGAAATGACCTGTACAAAAGGAACAGTTGCACCTGAACTGGAGGTTTCCAATATCCTGGCAGGGAGATTTGCTAGAGCTATTCAATAGTATATAAGCTTGCCTGACAGTGGGGTGCGACCCTAAGCAGTAGTGAGACAAGAGAAGGTTGAGGCTGGTGCAGAAGGTAATGAGAGCAAGTTAAATATTTAAGGCAGGCAAGAGCATGGCAGAGAATGAGGAAAGGTTGCTGAATTAAACTGCATTTATTTTAATGCAAGAGGCCTGACAGGTGTAGCAGCTGAACTCGAGGCTTGGATGGGAATATGGGACTGAGATATCATAGCCATTACAGAAACATGGCTGTAGGACGGACAGGACTGACGCCTCAATGTTTCAGAGTACAGATGCTGCAGGAAGGATAGAAGGGAAGGCAAGAGAGGAGGGGGACTGTTGTTTTTGATTAGGGGAAAATATCATGGTGTACTTAGAGAGGATAATCCTGTGGGATTGTCTGGTGAAGCTATATGGGTGGAACTGAGAAATAAGTAGATGATAATCTTAGGATTGTACTCTAGCCTAATAGTCAGTGAGAAATTGAGGAGCAAATATGTAGGGAGGTCACAGATAGCTGTAAGAATAATTGGGATGTAATACAGGGGAATTTTAACTTTCCAAACCTAGACTGTGACTGTCATATGTTAAGGGCTTGGATCGGGAGGAATTTGTTACATGTGTTCAAGAAAACTTTCTCAGCCCAAGAATAAGGGGTACGCCATTCAGGACTGAGATGAGGAAGAATTTCTTTACTCCAGAGATGTGAACCTAGGAATTTTCTTCACAGGAAGCTGCTGGGGCCAGTTCATTAGATGTATGCAACAGGGAGTTGGGCATGGCCCTTGCGGCTAAACAGATCAAAGGGCAAAGACAGGAATAGGATACTGACGTTGCATGATCAGCCATGATTGTATTGAATGGTGCTGCAGACTCAAAGGGCTGAATGGTCTACTCCTGCACCTATTTTCTATGTTTCTATGTAGATAGCCCTACTAGAGAAGTGGCAAAACTTGACTTTCCCTTGGGAAATAAGGCAGGGCAAGTGACTGAGGTGTTACTGGGGGAGCACTTTGGCCATAATTCTATTAGTTTTAAAATAGTTACAGAAAAGAACAAGGCTGGTTCACAAGTTCTAAATTGGGGCAAGGCCAATTCTGATGGTGTTAGGCAGGAACTTTCAAAAGTTGATTGGGGGAGGCTGTTCACAGATAAAGGGATGCCTGGCAGGTGGGAGGCTTTCAAAAGCAAGATATCTTAGAATCATAGTATCATAGAATCCCTACAGTTTGGAAACAGGTCCTCCGGCCCAACAAGTCCAAACCAACCCTCAGAGCATCCCACCCTAACCCATCCCCCTATAACCCATCTAATCTACACATCCCTGAACACTATGGGCAATTTAGCATGGCCAAGCCACTTAGCCTGCACATCTTTGGACTGTGGGAGGAAACCGGAGCACCCGGAGGAAACCCACGCAGGCACGGGAAGAATGTGCAAGATAATGAAAGGTCAGCATGTTCCTGTTAGCGTGAAGGGCAAGGCTGGCAGGAGTAGGGAACACTGAATAATGAGAGATATTGAGGCTCTCTTCAAAACAAAGAAGGAAGCATATGTCAAGTATAAATGGCTGGGATCAAATGAATCCCTTTAGGAGTATTGTGGGTGTAGGTGTACACTTAAGAGGAAAATCAGGAAAGCAAAAAAGAGGACATGAGAACTTTGTCAGATAAGGTTAAGGAGAATCCAAAGAGATTCTACAAGTATATTGAGGGCAATTGAGTAACTGGAGAGAGAATAAGGTCCCTGAAAGTTCAACAAGACCATCTATGTATGGAACCACAGGAGATGGATGAGATCTGAAACGAATATTTCAGGGCAGTATTTTACATGGAGAAAGACATGGAAACTAGGGAACTTGGGGAAATAAATAGTGATGTCTTGAAAAGAGTCCATATTACCAAAGAGGAGGTACTGGAATACGTAAAAGTAGATAAATCCCCAGGATCCGATCAAGTGTATCTCTGGACTTTGTGGGAAGCCAGGGAAGAAATAGTGGTGTCTAAAGGAGGTGGTTGTAATGTGAACAGCCATGGGGAAATGCTGGAAAACTGGAGGGTGGCTAATGTTGTGCCATTATTTAAGGCAGCATGGAAAAGCAGGAGATCTACAGACTGGTGAGCCTGACATCAATGGTAGGTAAATTGTTGAAGGGATTCTGAGAGATGGGATCTACATGCATTTGGAAGGGCAATGACTGATTGAGGATAGTCAGCATGGCTTTGTGCATGGAAAATCGTGTGTCTCAAACTTGATTGAATTTTTTGAAGACCAGGATAGATGAAGGCAGAGCAGTAGATGTTTAAATGGACTTTAGAAAAGCCTTCAAGGTTCCATATGGTAGACTGGTTAATAAGGTTAGATTACATGTGATCCAGTGAGAGCTAGTTAAATGGATAGAAAATTGGCTTGGAGACAAAAGGTAGTGGGAGAGAGTTTTTGTTCAGATCGGAGGCCAGTGCCAGTGGTATGCTGCAAGGATTGGTGCTGGGTCCATCGTTTGTCATTTTTCATAAACAATTTGGGTGAGGATATAGGAGACATGGTTAGTAAGTTTGTGGATGACACAAAATTGGTGGTATAGTGGATAGTGAAGAAGGTTATCTAAGGAAACAAAGAGATCTTGATCAACTGAGCTAATGGGCCGAGGAATGGCAGTTAATGTAGATAAATGCGGTGTTACATTTTGCCAAGATCAACCATGATTGCAAATTATTTAGCCTTAGCTTTTACACTGATGTGCTAGACTGCCACGTCACTGAGATGGGGATATTTGTGGAGCCAACTCCTGGTTTAATTGTTCAGCTGTCTGTTACCATGTATGGCTGGATTTGGAAAGACTATAGAGACTGGATCTGATTCTTTGGCTGTGAGATGATTACCTCGGTCTTTTGCATGCCATTCTATAGTTTGAAATGCAAGTAATTCTGTCCTATAGTTTCACCAGGTTAACACCTCACTTTTTAAATATACTTGGTGTTACTCCTGTTAAGCCCTCCTGCACTCTTAGTTGATTCAGGGTGTGATGACAATGGTAGAGTGGGGAAATGCAGGACCATGGTGCTGATTATCCACAGTGCCTCATTGATTCCCTCATTTGATTTGTTTGAAATCTATCCCATTAGTATAGTGGTAGTGTCACTCAGTACAATAGAGTAACCTGAAGACAGATCCCATCTCCACAGGGGTGGCCATGGCCGTACTGACATGGTCAGATGTATCTGAGATGTATAAATTTATGAAAATGAGGTTAGCTAGGGTTTTTCCATCATTTTGATCCTCTTACCACTGGCCACTAGACCTAGACTCAGTATTGGTAGTAGTTGCTACCAAGTCACTCTTGGTGATGAACAATCAAGACCTCAACCCAGAGTACATTTTGTACCCTTGCCACCCTCTGTCCTTTTATGCGGTGTTCAACATGGAAGAATACTGATTCATTAGCTGAAGGTAGGGGTGAGGGGGAGGTGGGGTGGTGGTTAATCAGCAGTCTGTTTTCTTGCCCATGTTTGACTTGATGGTATGTGACTTCATGGTGTCCAGAATCAATGATAAGGCTCCCATGGCAACTCCCTCCCAACGGTAAACCATTGTTCCGCCACCTATGGCTGATGAGTACCAGTGTTTCAAAACATAACCAGGGCTGGTGGATAGTGGCTTCTGAGACATTATCTTTAAACTATGATTCCATGACTGTGACTGTCAGGGTGTTGCTTGACTAATCAGTGGAAGAGTTCTTCCATAATTTTGACACTAGGGTTTAGATGTTAGTGTGGCGGACTTTGCAATTTCACAATGATTGTTCACTATCATTGTTTCTACTGCCTATGTTGATGCTGGTTGATCCATCTGATTTCATTAGTGTTTGATCTTATACTGATTTTATAAAACTGACTATTTCAGAGGGCAGTTAAGATTTGGGGCAGCATGGTCGCTCAATGGTTAGCAATGCTGCCTCTCAGTGCCAGGGACCCGGGTTCATTTCCAGCCTTGGGCAACAGTCTGTGGAGTTTGTGGAATCCCTGTGTCATTGTGAGTTTCCTCTGGGTGCTCCAGTTTTCTCCCACAGTCCAAAGATGTGCAGGCTAAGTGGGTTGGCCAAGCTAAGTTGCCCGTAGTGTTCAGGGATGTGTAGATTAGGTGGGTTATAGAGGATTGGGTCTTGGTGGGATGCTTCAAGGGTCAGTGTGAACTTGTTGGGCCAAAGGGCCTGTTTCCACCCTGTAGGGATTCTATGATGATTCTATGACCAATGTGCAAGTTAGGTGGATTGGCTATGCTAAATTGCCCATAGTTTCTAGGGTGGGAAATGCAGGGATAGGGTAGGGGGTGGGTCTGGGTGGGATGCTGTTCAGAGGGTCGATGTAGATGCAATGGGCCGAATGGCCTGCTTCCACACTGTAGGAATTCTTTGATGATTCTATGAGTCAAGCATGTGGTGTTTATGACAAGGTCAGCCAGGTGCACCTCATAGAATGAATTCGCTGATTGGGATTGTTCATCTGGTCCAATCAGGGAGACCTGGCTCACAGAAAAAAAACACAGGATTGTCAGACATCCTCATGCTCAGAGCTGGTTCTGAGGGAGCTGGATGACTTTTCATGTGTAAATAAAGGGTGACTTGGTGATGGGATACTGGCCTCTGGAGTTATTTCAAAGTACAGTGCTGTTAATCTGAAATCACATGTAGACCAAACCAGATAAGGATGGTAGGTTTTCTTAAAGGATATTTGAATTTTATCTTGATTTAACTTCTGAAATTACTTGAAGCCTTTTTTTGCGCTTTGTCCAATTCACTTAGGGTGTACTATGATTGTAATTGGTAAACATGGGGATCTGAAGTCATTTTCTGTTTCTTTTTAGATCCCAGGGTTAAAGGATGGCTTATGCTGGATTCCTATTTACCTACATTCCTCCTTACATTCTTCTACCTAATCACTATATGGCTGGGAACAAAGTATATGAAAGAGAAACCGGTATTCTCTCTTAGGATTCACCTAATAATATATAATCTTGGAGTAATGCTTCTCTCTCTCTACATCTTTATTGAGGTAAGATTTCATCTAAAATCTAAATGATTTTTTATAAAAATTATTGATCTGCTGATATCAAGATTTGGAGCAAAACTGGCAAGGCCATTTGACACTATCCATAACAGAATATCTATCGTACAAGGTAGTGGTTCTGAAGAAATTAATGTTGCATTAAGCTCCAACACAATGAACATCACTGCAATTTTGAGCAGGTCCCATGAGGCACAGCTGCCAAAGACAGGGAAGAAAAATATTTATACTGTGGCCACAGTATTAGAAAGGTTGCAGTACCCTTACGGTGACAAAAGAGCAAATTAAAAGATCTAAAAGCTAGAATCTGAGAAGAAAATTAAGACTTTAATGAAATTGGAACTCATTTACATCATGATTGAGGGGGAAGATTTATCAATGCCTCAGGAAATTAGTTTTATTTGAAAACAATTTGCAAGGAATACACAATGTTTTAAATTGTGAAATTTCTCTGACAATTTCAAATTGCCCATGAAGAAGCATCTTGGCCACAAAATTCAGGCAAGCCCTGAAAGGCTGAAGACTACCATTTTGATTATTAAAAATGGTAGAAAGGCCAGTAAGCAGAAAATATACAATACTATTCCCTGGCATTTTAAGCACCTGTCTGGATGCTTCCTACATGTTGTGAGAGTACCTGCCTCCTTCACCGTCTCGGGTATCGTGTTCCATCTAATGACATTGTGGGTAAAAATGTTTTTCCTCAAATTCCCTGTAAACCACCTGCTCTTCGCATAAGGTGAAGAACCTAACGCCTTCTGGTCTTAGAGACACTTGCCATGGGGAATGGATTCTCACAGTCTACCCTCTCATATGCCTCTCATAATTCTGTATACCTCAATCAGGTCACCCCTCTGCTACAAGCAAAACAAACACAGCCTATCCTTCATAACTGAAACTTTCCATCCCAGGCAACATCCTGGTGCATCTCTTCTGTACACTCTCCTGTACAATCACGTCATTCCAAAAGTGTGGCGACCAGAACTGCATACAGCATTCCATCTGTGGCCTAACCAATGTTTGCAAAGTTGCAACAAGATGTCTTTGCTCCTTTTATTCCAAGCCTCAGCTAATGAAGGCATCCTATTTGTCTTCTTCACTACCTATCTACCTGTGCAGACACCTTCAGGGATCTATGAACTTGTATGCCAAAGTCTCTTTGTTCTTCAGTACTCCTTAGGGATTCATACTGCAAATAAAGAAACAAAAGAATTGCGGAGACTGTAAATCAGAAACAAGAACAGAAAATGCTGGAAAAGTGCCACAGGTCTGGCAGCATCTGTGGAGAGAAATCAGTTAATATTTCAGGTTAAGTGACCCTTCATCAGAACCTTGAGCCGAAACATTAACTCTAGTTTATCACCACAGATGCTGCTAGACGTCCTGAGATTTTCTCATTGAATAAATCCTTTTATTATTAGACCTCCCAAAATGCAGCATCACGCATCAGGATTAAATTCTATCTGCCTTTGCTCTGCCCAATGTTCCAGCTGATCAAATCAGACTAGCTTAAGATCATCCTACCCACTATCAACAACATCATTAATTTGAGACATCCACAAACTTACTAATTATGCCTTCTACATTCACATACAAGTGACCCACTTGTACATAAGAAACAGCAAGTGTCTCAGCACTGATCCTTGTGGTATACTGCTGGTCACAGGCTTCCGGTCACAAAACCAACCCTTCACCATCACTTTGCCTCCAATCACAAGCAAGTTTCAGATCCCACTGAATCCTGAGATCCACACTCAGTGCTATGCATCACCATATGCACTCTCTCTCCATCAGCACAGCCTCATTCTATCTCCGAGTTGTCCTGCACCTCCCCCCGCCCCCCACCCCCATCCCACTCCATTCCACTTCATTCTCTGGCTTGTTCAATGATTTAACAAGAAACTTTTCTTTCTCTACCTTTTACAGGCATTAAGGGACACATGCTGCAACAAGTCAGGGATGCCCACAACCCTCTGGAATATCCCTTCTGTCTAACTCATTCCTTTCTCCTGCCCCCATCACTTGTCAGGTGTTTACTATCCTTTCTGGCCTTCTGCTTTCCAATGCTAGATATTCCAAACTCCACAACGGTCTGCTTTATCCCTCTGCACCAATGCCTCAATGTATTTTGGACTAGACATGACATTGAATTTTTGTTCCATCACCTTTTCCCTGTGCTTTTTGATAGGAGTCCACTCCCTGTTCCATGGATGACTTCACCCACCTCTAACACTCTCCCTTCACCTGGACCTATCTTTCTATTTGGCCTTTTATTTGTACGCGTCTTGTTCATTGAGAACGGTCAACACAACATCGGTCACCTTAATTTCTCTGCCCCTCACTTGTCCTCCCCTTCCCCACCCTTTCCATTTGAATCTATCTCCCTCTGAACTGACTGCACTCCATTTTCTCAGATTCAACCTGACCTTTTCCTTGGAACAGAGAAAGTTAAGAGGTGACATGATTTGAGGTATACAAAATTGAGGGGTAGAGAGAGTACACCGTTCAAAAAACCTGGGGTCATAGATTCAGGCTAAGTGGCAGAAGGATTAGAAGAGACACAAAGAAAAGCGTTTTTACACAGATGATGGTCGATGTTTGGAATTCAGTGCCTGAGTTGGTGGTGGAGGCAGAGACCCTAACCTCTTTTAAAACCACCTGGATTTACACTTTTAAGTGTTCTAAGCTGCAGGGCTGTGGATCCAGCTCAGGAAAATGGGATTAGAAAGGTCATGTGGGTGTCTTTGGGCTGGCATTGGGCAAGATGGGCTGAATGGCCTCCTTCTATGCAATGTCATTTCTATGGTTCTTGCTCTCTATGATTCCGAACAAACCACAAAAATAAAGACTTTATACTGTCCCTCCTAGTAATACTCTCTCAGCCCCTAAAACCTATTCCTGAGCAGCAGCCAATCCTCTTGCCATATTACTTTTATGAAACCTGACAGCATCTCAGGAGTTCTGCCTCTAGATTCAGTGAAGGTTTGCTCCACTCCTGTCTTGCTGTTGCTTCAACTGCGCTGGTCAGAGACACCAGTATAGATTTAAAATGCCTAATGGCACTTGATCTATCCCTTGGTATTTTTTGGTTGTTTTTGTTGAAAGGACAAAAATATTGAATAGATTTACAGTTTTTCCAGTACTCTCTGTTTGCATTGTTCAACTAGGGCAATGTTGGCAAATGTTATTTATGCCGATTTCCATGAGGCATTTTCTAAATGCTTTCCTAACACACTCAGCTAAAGTTGAAGAGTATGGAACTGAAGACAAACTAGACTTCTTCTAAAAAAGATAATATTGTGGGAACATTGTCTTTTTTTAATTCCCCGCCTGAGCATATTGCTATTAGTTTCAAACTAAGTTCTGTGTTCTGTACCAAAAATTGTTAAAAAATGCATTTTCTAATAAAAGTTTATGTTCTTCACAGCTGGTCCTGGCAAGCTGGGAAGGCAGGTACAACTTGCAGTGTCAGAATCTCCACAGTGCCAATGATGCTGACATCAGGGTGAGACACAAACTAATGGGCTACCAATTTGGTAGCAATTTTTAATGTAGTTCTTAAAGAATACTGCCACATAGGCAGCCCTGCATTTCAGAGTAATGTAAGAGAATGCCTGATCTTGTCCACTTTTGATCTATTCATGGGATGTGAACATACAGCTAGTGAGTCTATTAACGTGCATTGTATTTCACTTGGAGAAAGAGATGGTGAGCCAACTTCTTGATTGATTGCAGACATTGGTGTAGGTACTCATGGGGTTGTCAGGAATGGAGTTCCAGGATTTTGACTGAGCAACATTGAAGAAACAGCAATATAGATCCCACTTAGGATAATGTGCAGTTTGGCAGGGAATTTGCAGCAGATTGTGTTCCCATGTATCCTGCTGATTTTCCTCTTTCTAGGTGGTAGAGGTCGCAGGTTTGAAAAGGGCTGTTGAAGTAGCCTCAGTGAGTTTCTTCATCACATCTTGTAGACTGTACACACTATTGCCATTCTGCATTGGTGGTAAGGGGAGTGAATGTTTGAGGTACCAATCAAGTGGGTTGCTTTGTTCCAGCTTGTGTTGAGCTTATTCAATGTTTTCAGAGCTGTGCTCATTCAAGAAAGTGGAAATATTTCATCAGACTCCTGACATGAGCCATGTAGATAATGGATAGACATTGGGGAGACAGGAGGTGACTTACTCACCACAGAATTCCTAGCCTCTGATCTGCTCTTGTAGCCAAAGTTTCTAAGGCTGTTCCAATTCTGTTTCTGGTCAGTGATAACCCCCAGTATATTGATAGCAGGGGATTCAGTGATGGTTTGCCATTAAATATCAAGAGGTGATGGCTAGATCATCTGTAATTGGAGGTGGTCATTGTCTGGTACTTATGACTTGACTGTTTATTAGCTCAAGTCTGGATGCTGCCAAGGACTTCCTGCTTATGGATCTGGATGGTGCTAGTATTGGGAGAGTCACAAATGGTGCTAAACATTGTGCAAACACCCCACTTCTGACATGATGATTCAACATTGGTATTATTTGTGCAAATGGGGATGTTGGGGATGCCAGAAAGTTAACATGCCTAATAGGCTGAGTTATATTACAAAATGTCAGAGAATCGAGGTGGGTCTTCTAATCAGCCCACATTGGTATTTACCCTCCTTCATGGCTGCCTTCAAGCTGCCATCGTACATGATGGATAAAATATGGCAGAAGGGACCTTTTTTAAAAGATTGGTCTGCTCAGTCACAATGTTTTCAGACTCCAACTTAATTCTTCCCATTAATATCTAGCCCACCAACTTTAAAAGGAGATTAATTTGCACCTGTTGGCAGCAGTTCAATTAAAATCTCCAAATCTGATTTCCTCAAAGTCTATACCTGGTCTCAGACTGTTGCATGCACCATTGTAATCAACTATGTTTTGAATATCCAGACCTGGTAGGAGACATCTATTTACCAGTACTATTGGTTAGGTTGGTAGCAGGACATTCTGTTCACTTATTTCAACGGTCAGGTTGAGAAGAGATGCAGACTGCTCATTCCTGGTTCAAGACAGACCTACATTTTTGTTCTTTCATGAAAACGAAATCATAACATTGGAAAGAACTGCAAAGAAGAGTTAATTGAACAAGGCTGTCAAAGACTGTCTGAATGCTCTTCTTCTATGCCACAAGAGTCTACAACCTTTGCTAGTCATAGAATCATAGAATCCCCACTGTGTGGAAACAGGCCCTTCGGCCCAACAAGCCCAACAAACTCCGCTCCTCCGAACAGCATCCCACCCAGACCCATTCCCCTACCCCTGCATTTCCCTTGTCTAACCCACCTAACCTAAACATCCCTAGGCACTATGGGCAATTTAGCATTGCCAATCCACCTACCCTGCACATCTTTGGACTGTGAGAGGGAAACTGGAGCACCTGGAGGAAATCTACGCAGACACAGCGAGAATGTGCAAACTCCACACAGACAGTTGCCCAAGGCTAGAATCGAACCCGAGTCCCTGGTGCTGTGAGGCAGCAGTGCTAACCACTGAGCCATCGTGCTGCCCCAAAAAGTACCTCAGCTACTCCCCGGCGGGGAATTGAACCCCAGTCTCCCATGTGACAGGTGGGGATACTAACCACTACACTACTGAGGAGGCCTCCCAATACCTCACAGCCTATGATTTTAATTTCAGTTGACTTCATTTTTTATTTTAATAAAAAGCTGGCAATAGCATTTCAAATCTCTAAAATGAAATTTTGTTCAAATTACTGTTCATGGAAATACTGTTCTGTATATTGATGCAATTAGTTATGAGTATGGTTCCTATTCATTTTACAGGTGGCAAAAGTGCTTTGGTGGTACTACTTTTCTAAAGCTATTGAATTTATGGACACATTTTTTTTCATCTTACGGAAGAAAAATAGCCAGATTACATTTCTTCATGTATATCACCATGCAACAATGTTCAACATTTGGTGGTGCGTCCTTAACTGGATACCTTGCGGCCAAAGTAAGCTCTATTTTAGATTCTATTTTTGTTCTTTCAGGAAGCTATTTTAGGTTCTAACTATTTTGTGAGGGCTGAACATTGTTACTGACCGAAATAGTGGGAATAACACCAGGTGATATAAATTTGCATGTAACAATATTTTTGAAAAATCAGTTGTACCTGAATTATATTTTATAAAATTTCAGTTACTTCTGTTTCTGGTAGTGTTTATACGGGGTGAATAACTTTGAAGCTTTGGAAATACAATCATAGGGATCTACAGCACAAAAAAGCTCTTCAACCCATTTTATGCACCCATCAAAAATTACCACCTCGACTATACCACCTCACCCTGCTTCCTGTCAGGGTCTCCATCCATTCTCTCACTGTCTCCATCTCCGTTGCATCTATCTGACAATGCCTCAGATTTGTCCACCTTTTCTCCTCAACTGAGGATTCCCTGCTACCATGGTCAACAGCACCCTTAGCAATGTTCGACCCATTTCCCACAATCTGCCTTCACCCCTTCCCTTCCCTCATAATAATGATAGCATCCCTCTGGTCCTCACTTAAGAACCCACCAGCCTCAGCATCTGAAGGATTGTAAGCCGCCATTTCCATCATCTCCAGTGGGATGCCACCATCAGACACATATTCCCCTTCCCTCCCTTGTCAGTACATTTTTTTTCTTGTAGGGACTGAGCCCTACAGGACAGCCTTGTCCGCTTCTCTACCATTCCCAACATCTCTCACTGACATGGCACCTTCCCATGCAATCGCAGAAGGTGTAATACTGGCTTGAGTACCACCTCGCTATCTAAGGCATCAGTACCTTCTAGGTGAAGCAGTGATTTTACCTGTGTTTCATTCAATCTGCATTTGCTGTTCACAATATGGTCTTTTACAGTGGGAGATGAAATGCAGGCTGGGTGACTGCTTTGCTGAACACCTACATTCTGTCTGCAAAAACAACCCCGAGCTTCCACATGCCTGCCACATTAATGGACCACTATATTCCCACACCAACACTTTTGTCCCAGGCCTTCTGCAGTGTTCCAGTGAGCTTCAGTGCAAGCTCAAACAACAACATCTCATTTTTCCATTTGGACTCTAGCACTCAACATCAAACTCAATAACTTTAGAGCCTGATTCCATCCTTGCATATCTTTGACCCACCCCATGTCGGGCCCTGTTATGACATTCATAGAATAGAATTCATAGAATCCCTACAGTGCAGATAGAGGTCATTCAGCCTTTCGGGTCTGCACTAACCCTCCGAAGACCATCCCACTATCCATGTAACTCTCCAATCATAGAGTCATATAGCACGGAAACAGTTGGTCCAACTTGACCACACCAACCAGACATCCTAATCTGACTTAGTCCCATTTTGCCAGCATTTGGCCCTTTTTCCTCTAAACATTTCCTAGTCATATACCCATTCAGATGCCTTTTTTAAAATGTTGTAATTGTACCCACCACCACCACTTCCTGTGGCAGCTCATTCCATACTTGCATCATGTGAAAAAGCTACCCCTCACGTCTCTTCCCTTTTTTTTCTAAATGTTTCCCCTCTCACCTTAAAACTATGGCCTCTAGTTTTGGACTGCCTCAATCTAAGAAAAAGATCTTGGCTATTCACCCTATCCATGCCCACTCATGATTTTATAAATCTCTATAAGGTCACCCCTCAGCCTCCACTCCAGGGAGAAAAAGCCCCAGCCTATTCAGCCTCTTCCTACAGCTCAAACCCTGCAATCTCAGCAACATCCTTGTAAATCTTTTCTGCACTCTCAAGTTTAATAATATCCTTCCGAAAGAAGGGTGACCAGAATTGTATGCTGTTTCCTAAAAGTGGCCTCACTAATGTCCTGTACAGCCGCAGCATGATGTCCCACATCCTGTATTCAGTGCACTGACTGATGAAGGCAAATGTGCCAAATGCTTTCTTCACTACCCTGTCTACCTACGATTCCACTTCCACTTTCAAGGAACTATGCACCTGCACCCCTAAATCTTTGTTCAGCAACATTGTCAGGACATATCATTGTGTATAAGTACGTCCTGGTTTGCTTAACAAAATGTAATAGCTCATATTTATCTAAAACTCCATCTGCCACTCCTCAGCCCATTGGCTCATCTGATCAATGTCCCATTGTACTTGGATAATCTTTTCTGTCCACTGCACCACCTATTTTGGTATCATCTGCACCATGATCCCACATTAACCATGGCTAATCCACCTAGTCTGTACATCCCTGGACACCATGGAGCAATTTAGCATGACCAATCCATCAAACCTGCATATTTTTGTACAGTGGGAGGAAATCAAAGCACCCATCAGGACTTACACAGACCCAAGGAGAATGTACAAACACCACAGACAGTTACTCTAAACTGGAAATGAACCTGGTGCTGTGAGGCAGCACTGTGCCATCACGACTAAAAGTGTTACTTTTGCACAGCCACCCATTCCTGTGTACTCATAGGCCAATTATCACATATGGGTTGCATTCAGGATTATTTAGTGTAGAATCCCTAGTGTGGGAGCAGGCCATTCAGCCTTTTGAGTCCACCCAATCCAGACCCACCCCCCTACCCTGTCCCTAAAACCCTGCATTTCTCATGGCTGATCCACCTCGCCTGCACATTCCTGGGCACTATGGGCAATTTAGCATGGCCAGTCCACCTAAACTGCGCATCTTTGGACTGTAGGAGGAAACCGGAGCACCTGGTGGAAACCCATGCAGACACGGGGAGAATGTGCAAACTCCACACAGACAGTCGCCCAAGGCTGAAATCGATCCCAGGTCCCTGGCACTGAGAGGCAGCAGTGCTAACCAATGAGCGATCTTGCTGCCCTATTTTCTCACTCTTGACTCCTCTTAATATTTATTCAGCTTTTCTTCTGTGTTGATGTGCTATCCATTATATCTTTGTTTACCTACTCCTTTCACATATGGTCATTTATCCCTCCTCCAAGGGGAAATCATCCTTCCTGGCTACCTTGTCTATACCCTCATAATTTTATTCGTCTCAACCATGTCTCACTGAGTCTCCTCATGACTGAAATTCTCTAGCTTAGGCAATGTCCTGGGAAATCTCCTCCGCACTGTCTCTAGAGCAATTAAGTCCCTCCTTCAATGTGGATTCCAGCATTGCACACAGTACTCTAGGAGTGACCTAACCATGCTTTATACAGTTCCAGCATCTCGTCCCTTCTCTGAAAATATATGCCTTGGCAAATAAAGGCAAGTATCCCATATGTTTTTGTAACTACTTTATCTAGTTGTCCCGCTATTTTGAAGGAACAGTGGACATGCACATCAAAGTCTCTCTCATACTTTGTGCTTCCCAGGATTCTACTTTTCATAATGTATTCTGTTGCCTTGTTTCTCTTATCTAAGCACATCACCTCACATTTATCTAGATTGGTTGGTCAATGGCAAATGGAATTTAATCTGTCACTCTGTCAATTCTGGATCTACTTAGCCAAATTCCCTTGAATCCCATTGGCTCTTACATTTGCTATCAGTAACATGCTGATGTTCTTGATTGATATCTGCCACTCAAATATTTTTAACCAACCTGTTCAAAGTTATTATCATGTACTTCTGGAGCAGGTGAGACTTGAACTAGAGTTCCAATAGAATTGCTTCCAATAGTTTCCCTAACACTGATGTGAGACCAACTGGCCAGTAGTTTCCTGGTTTATCCCTTGCTCCCTTCTTGAATAATGGCATCACATCAGCTATCCACTAGTCCTCTGGCACATCTGCGTTGGCCAGGGAGAATTTGAAAATTATTGCCAGTGCCCCTGCTATTTCCTCCATTGCCTCATTCAACATGCCTGGGATACATTTCATCTGACCCTGGAAACTTGTTTACTTTTAACCCAACCAAACCTCTCAGAATTTCTCTCTTCCTTTGCTAATTTCTTTAAGTTTGTTAAAGTCCTTATGTCTGATTTCTATACCTACATCATCCCTGTCACTCACGGATACCGATACATCCTCTATTTCCACACGGAGGCCACAAATATGTTTAACTTGAAACAAATTAGTTACGGAGAGGCTCATTTATTCTCATTAGAAACACATTGTCTCCATGGAAGTGTGGATTTTTAAAAGAGTTAAGTAGCTTGAATTTGTTCACATTGATGGATTATATCAGTTCGATCAGGGAGGGGCATGAGTCATGTATATATTATGCAATAGCAGAACTAGGTCATCCGACATGAGATTCTTCTTTACCCGGGTAACAGTACTAGATTTGTGGAACAGTTGTCAGCTTGTGCAACATGTGCTGAATGGTTGCATACTATCAAAATAGAGTTGGATCACTTTGATTGTAGAGATCACAGAATAGAAAGAAAAGGGAAATACTAAGTAATGTAAATCATAGAATTACACAGTAATTTGGCTCATCAAATCTATACCACAAAAAATTACTACAGCCTACACTAGTCCCAGTTTCCCGCACTAAGTCTATAGCTTTGAATGTTATGACACTTAAAGTGCTCATCTGAGTAATTTTTAAAAGGTTGAGGTTTCCTGCCTCAACTATCTTTCCAGGAATTGCATTCCAGATATCCACTACCCTTTGGGTGAAAACTTTTCCTCAAATCCCCTCTCAACCTCCTGCCTTTCACTTTAAAGTTATGCCCCATGTTATTGACCCTTCAACTACTCATCCTGTGCATGCCTCTCATAACCCTATACACCTCAATCAGGTTCCCCCTCAACCATTTCCCCTCCAATGAAAACAACTTGAGCTTATCCAGCCTCTCTTCAAAGCTGAAATGCTCCTTTCCAGGCAACATCCTGGTGAATCTCCTTTGTACCACCTTCAGTGCAATCACATCCTTCCTATAGTGTGGTGACCAGAACTGCCACACGGTACCTAACCAAAGTTCTATACAGATCCAACATGACCTCCCTGCTCTTATATTCTGGGACGTATTTGATAAAAACAAGCATCTCATTTCCACCTTAACTACCATTTTAACCTATATTGCTGCCTTCAAATATATGTAGTCAAGTACCCCAAGATCATTCCATTCCTTTGAGTTTCCTGGTGTCCTTCCATTCATTGAGTAGTCCCTTGACTTGTTATTACTTTGGAGGTGCATAACCTCACTTTTCAGGGTTAAATTTCATCTGCCATTGATCTACCATCTGACCAATTCATTTGTATCGTCCTGTAACCTAAGACCTCCTTCCTCACTGTTAACGCCTTAGACAATCTTCCTGTCACCTGCAAACTCACTTATCACTTTATTTTTCATCATATATGTATAATTTATATAGAGACCTAGAGTTGACCCCTGTGATTAAGAACCTAAACACCAACAACAGATAGCTGCTCATCTCTCTCTTTATCAAGGCCACTGATCAGAAGCTGGAGCACAACCCAACTGTTCTAAATGCCACAGTCATGAAGTCAGCACAGAAAAAGTGACAGAAGGCGCAATCACCAACTGCTTCTGTCATCATTAGTGTATCATGTACAGTATGGGATCCAGCACTGATCCCTGTGGTATGCCACTGTGTACCAGGCTCCAGACAACCTTCTACCATCACCTGTCACTAAGCCAATTTCAGATCCAATGTGCTAAGTAACCCTTGATCCCTGGGAGCTTCTACCTTGTCAGTTTCCATTGTGGGACCTTGTCAAAAGCATTGCTGAAATCCACATAAACTACATCAACTGCATTACCCTCATCTAAACATTTGGTCATTTCCTCAAAAAAAATTCCACCAGATTCCATCAGTGGCATGACTTCCCTCTGACAAAGCCATACTGACTATCCCTGATAAAACCTAGCTTCTCTACATGAGGGTAAATTTGCTCCTTCACTATTTTTTCCAATAGTTATCCTACTGCTGATGTTAGATGCATTGGTTTGTTGTTCCCTGGTCTATCTCTACTAGTCTTCTTGTAATGTGGAACCACACTAGCTGTTTTTCCGACCTCTGGCCATGGGGAGGTGCCAGAGACAATTTACAAATATGGGTCAGGACTCCTGTAATTTCCTCTCACATCTCCCACAGTAGCCTGGGATGCAACTCCTTTGGGAATTTGTCCACTTTTAAATCCACCAAATCCTCCGATACCACCTTGCTTCTTAAATCAATCTGCATAAGTACTTCACAGTCCACCTTCTTGAAATCTGTACTTGCATCCTCCTCCAAGTAAAACTGTATTGATTTAACACTCTTCAGAATTATCAATCAGACTTCCTGGGCTGGTTTAGGTAGCCCAATAAATTTCACATGCGATTCTAAGGAATCATTTCTGTCAGAAATTGGTTTTTAATGTTTTAATCTATTCTTTTACGCCTCATAGAGTTACAGATTCCCCATAGTGCGGAAAGGGGCCATTTGGCGCATTGAATCTGCACCAACCTACTGAACATAATTCCACCTAGATCCATCCCATCCCTGAAACTCCATTTGAAGGCTTTTATCATGGCTAACCTACCCAACCTGCACATCCCTGCACACTAGGATATTTTTTTTTTTAAACATAGCCAATCCACATAACCTGCATATGTTTGGATGGTGGGAGGAAATCGGAATACCTGGACGAAACCTGAAGGGAAGCTCAACACAGACAGTTGCCTAAGAAGCTAGCACACATTGGATGGTAATGTATGTGGATGAGAAATGTCGGGGGGCTGATACCTGTGGAGCGTGTCCCACGACGATGATGCCCGGTGTTCAGCATGCAGGTGCTTTAGAGCAGCAGCAAGCTTAAGTTGCTAGTACCCTGCCTTCCATGACAAAAATTCCCAAGCATCTAGTTTGCTTGCCATGGGTGGCAGGATAGGAACCAGATTATTAATAAAGTGAGATACAGAGTTAAGATCATTAACCAGCAATATTCCCCTTAACAGTCAACTCGCCACTGCTTAGTGAGAATTTCATCTCAAAACTTGGAACCTAGTTAGAGGAAAAAGAAAGTTGCTCCTGATGTTGAGATAAGCCTCACCGGATTTCTTACGTGATTCTGCCACATTTCTCATTATAGCCCGCATCATTCTACATGAATTTGACACAAATCAGAAATGCATTGCCTGAAAGACTTAATAGCAACCTTCAAAGGGAAGAAAGAAAATGAGAAAGGAACCATACAGGACAATGCAGAATTATCAGGGGAATGAATAGCCTTTTCAAAAGCTGGCACAGACTTGTTGGGCTGAATGACCTTCTAATGTGATTCTATGTTTTTGCTCATTGGTGGCAGGTGGCCTTCAACTACGAAAACCTTACATTCAAAATTTTTCCATACATCTAATACCTCTCTATCTCCATTTTTAAGGTCCTGTTTAAAACCAATCACATTCAACAAGCTTTTAGTTGTTGTTCAATTCTTTCATTCATTTGCCAGATTCCAATTTTCTCATGTAAAGTACTTGGGACATTTTTTGCTACAGACAAAATGTAATGCAAGTTAAGTTGAAACAACATTAATACACTTAGATCTGGTTACTTTGCTTCTCTCTCTGTTTCATTACAGGTTTCTTTGGTCCAACATTGAACAGTTTTATCCATGTATTAATGTACTTCTACTATGGCCTGTCTACCATTCCATCAATGCAGCCTTATCTTTGGTGGAAGAAATACCTTACACAAGCACAGCTGGTAAGAACCAACTTGCTCTAAACAGCACTTTCCACACCCAAGGCATTTCTAGCCAAAGAATTACTTTTGAAGCATGGTTACTGTTGTAACATGAAAATACACTGCAGGCATTTTGGGCTTGACAATGTCCTGTAATGTGCAATGTCCAATTAAACTGTTTTAACAATGCAGTTTTAATAATAAATTTGATCTGCACATTTGGAAAACTCAACTGTTCTTTAGAAGTGTCATGGTTTAGTTGCATGTCAGCAGGATGATAGGACCTCAGTTTCTCAATACATCCAAAAGACACTGCCTACAACAGTCAAGTCGTCTCTCAGTACAGCACTGGAGTGTCAGTCATATTTGTGTGCTAGTCTCCGGACTGGAGCTTGAAACCAGAACCCACTAACTCAGGCAATTATTTTACCAGTGTTAAGACACCCTGTAGGCTGTATTTCACGTATTTCTGTTACAAAGGAAGTTACCAATCATTTATGCATCAGCATTTCCCATTATTGCTAATCCACTGCTGTGAATAATACTGACTCAACTGTAATTTGGTAAGTATTGATACAAAAGATGGCAGAAATGGATTTCATTTTAAATATTGAAAACATCAAAAAAAAAGTGGTAACACAGTTTGGAGCTGGAATACGTGTAATACAGCCTACAGGGTGTC